ATATAAAAGTTTGAAATTTCTGTCACCTTTTTTTCTGTTAATAAAAATAAATTTAATCTGTTCGGTTAACGAATCTCCATAAAATGACGTGTAAAATTACAATTTTTTAAAATTTCAATAACTTTTTAACGGTTTAGTGAATCGATTTGTAATTTTTACAGGAGTTTTGTTATTGAATGAGGAACGTTCTTCCAAATTTTTATTTGTCTCGTAGCATTTTGACATACCTCCCAAACATCCTTAAGTTAGGAAATGATTCATAAGGAGTAGAGACAAAGTGAAAAGAGATATATAGTAAGCGGTGCAACAGTTAGAGGTTGTTTAGGTACGCAATGATCAGGATCGGCTTTATAACTGCCTGGTTGGAATCATATCTTTAAACACGCGACTTACTTTCCTAAACTCCTGAGAATGTTGAACTTTCTTTAAAGTCCGATGCTGACAACATGCTGAAATACTGTCTGTCTGCATCTCTTTCTGTTACACATCAATTGGTGTAATGTTATTCCTTTTTCTCTATTGGTATCCGCTGCAATTCCTCTGTGGCATCTCTTTTCTATGTTTACGGTATTCCTTGTAACGGCTGTCACGTGTAAAAGTGGGCGTTCTGTTAGTCACCGCTCCAGTCCAGTTAGTAAGTTAATTGAAAGAAGAAAGTAAATGAAGTTTTTTGCGGATTATGCCAATTTTGAAATTTCCATCTACTTCTTATAGTCTTCCATAGCGCCCTCTGTTCTTCTACTCTTTCTAATGCTTTATGTATCCATCTCTAAAGTTGTCATATGCTATATGTATTATGTGCCTATATTTAAAATCCTTTTTAATACCGAACTCTTTAAGCTTATTTTAGTCCGCCTATAATTATGTGTGTATATTTGATAGATGTCGCGCACAAAAATGTAGTAGGTAGGCTATAGTGAATTGGAACTCACCTACATATACTCCAAACGATCGATAAATGTAAGTTGAATTTTACGACACATAAATCGCGTTGGTTAGTTATATTGCTTCTTCTAGAAAGGCAATTTCGTTATATTGGAAAGATAAGATTACGATATCGCCTTTTATTTACGCCGAAGAACTTTGTATTATGTTATTTTAGAGACATTTTAATTTCCGGAAGCGTGTAGCTGCTAGGCAGACGTTGCTCTGCGCTGGCTGATGAACGAAAGCTTCCTATGCATTTAATAAAAGTAATGCTGTCTAGATTATATTAGAACTTAAAAGGATACTTTGAAAACTGGATAAACCCACCTATAGCTCGTTTATTTATACACTTGAGTGTTTAAAATTCTTCGGTACCTATTAAATTATTTTTACAGTTACCAAAGTGCTAAAATAATAATTTTCTCTGAAGATTTTCTACAATCTGAAATGCCTCGAATGTTAATAATATCAAGCTAGAATTTCCTAAAATATCTTTTCTTTTTCGTTTGGCATTACGCAATAACTTTTATGAAACTTCGAATTCGTAGTTCATTCCTTAAATTTTTTATGAAAAATTCTCTTTTCTGAGCCCCTAAAAGATAACTTTTACTTGCTCTGTTATCATCCTTTTGTTTTTATTATTATTATATGTACTGTCGAAGTTTCAGTGTCGCATTAGTTTTACCTTCATGTAATGCCCGATAGAAAAGAAGCATTAAACTTTTCTTCAAAAAGTATTTTATTAATAACGTTAGTCTATAGTCAGACTTAATGCCTTTTGAATTATTTCGTAAGTTGAGAAAGTGAATTTTCAGGTTACTTAGGTATCTTTAACAATTTACTGAAAGAGAATTATAAGAGAAAAAGTAAATCTGGAATGATTATTTTACACAATCAAATTCATTAACCTGTCAGTCGTAATGTAAAAAATCATATGGCTAACATTACTTCAATGGCCCTCACTTTCTTTGTGCGGTTCTAATGTGACATTTTAAGAGGAACTACTATGTATCCCTATCTATCTATCCCTAATTTAGGGATATTAAATGAGGTCTACACGCTACATGAGGCATGTTCCGTGTAAATTCTAGTTGGGTTAAGAATTATGATTACTTCAGTTACGCAAAATGTTTCTACCTAAAATAATAATTAGAATAACTTGTAATCATTCAAATAGCATTAATCAAGAAACTAATCACAAATTACAGTGCTATAATTTTTTTTTACGTCGAAGGACAAAGGATGACTTTTCAATCTTAATTCAATATTAATTATAACACTGTATAATTTTTTATAGAGATGTAGAGTTTAATAATAACATAATCTTGAAACTTGTTTCATAAATCTCACCAAATTTTTACAATCTGATTCGAATAAGAAAATGTAATGACGCTTGGCGGTTACCATTACGTATAGAGATCCTGATGATGCCCAAAAGCAAACGGTTTCATAAATTGGATAAACATGAAGTTGATTCATATTTAAGCAAGTCACATGTTGTCTAACTTATTAACACCAGTTAATTAGCCTGCTAACTGCTAATCATACCGCAAAGTACACGACCGAACGTTTGCAATATACGAAGATATCAGATTTTTTAAGTGAGTACAATGTGAAGTTCTTTTATTAATTATCCATCGCCTTTATATTGAACGTTCAAGTAAGGAACTAACCTTAATGGACTTGTTGTATTTAAATCGCGCCAAATGGATGGCTATCCCATTAGCCATGGACCCGCCTGGACAGAACATGCCATCTTGCCAGTCGGGACCGACCATCCGACACACCTCCTGAATTACCGTGGTTTCCATTAGGGTGAAAACTGGGGCAACCTCGTACGTATACATACTTGCGTTCAGAGCGTCCGTGAGCCATTGTCCGGCCAATCCGTAGGGATCTAATCTAGAATAATACATTGCATTTTAGACCATTGCTCTGCGACTCAAGTGCTCAACTTGGAACTTTATTAAGATTTATCGGGCGGAAACGGAATTATTTTTAAAGTCTAGAAAGCCACCTTCTGTTTGTTTTGGCAAAGTTAATCCCCTTGTCACAACATCTGGAGCAGGTAGGATACATAATACCTATCCACTAGCTAATGTTGAAAATGTGTCTCCCTTTCTGGTTAGACAAAGCTTGCAGTTTGCTCCTGCTTAAGTATTAGGTAGTACTAACAAGATTTACGTAGTTCAACGACTTACAATTACATTAACTCATTTTAATTAGAATTAGAACAACTCGATTCGGGGTATTTTTCATCCCGCTCGTATCAAGATGGCTCCAGAAAGTTTAATATTCCGGAAATCTATCTTGAAACTGATCCTGTATGAAATCTTTTCAAACCTTTAAGATAAACTTCCATCCATATAACTGAGTTAAACAACTAGCAGACGTCAATTAATCTGAATGTATTTGGTGTTATTCACTTATTTTATTATGATTTCTTAAGGTTTGAAGGCAAAACATATGATAAAGTGAAGTAAGCAAGTATAAACGTGGTCGAAGATCATCACTATTTGTATTTTACTGTTTTCAGAAAGTTTGTACTGTTTCTAAGTAACAATGTATATGAAAATACGTACTGTTGTGGTTAGATCAATAGATCAGAGGAAATCATAACTCCAATAAAACTATCAAGAGATTTCTTAATGTAACTGAGAATGAGAGTTTTAGTTTGCGGGTTTCCATCAATCTTCTGAAACCTCAAGTGTCAAACGAATGGCATGGGAAATAGACAGGAAGAGATAGCCCTTAAGGTCTCTAATATTTTTTATACTCACTGTCTCTTCTTCAGTTTAGAATCTAATCCACTGTCGTGTTACAATTAAAATTTTTTAAAATTTTGTATACATGTAGATTCAAAATATTGTTAGGTCGTTAGTAAATGGGATAATATAGATACGTATTTTCAATGAAAAATAAAGATTCTGGAGTAAGTTTATATCATATGGGTTTTTGAGACTATTCATCCGCTACCTTCTCTCACTTTCTTGACGGGGAAATTCTATCGAATGCTAAGAAATTCGTTGTCGATTTGTAAACAGCCCATTGTCAATTGAACGTCGTAGAGCCCATTTTGAAGATAATCCTCATTTATGTGCGACAATGTGGTGACAATACACGTTCAGGAATTCCATTTCATTGAAATGCAAAGGAAGGTTTCGACTTAACCGGATGGGTAACAAGCGGAGCAAAGATTTGCTCGCTGTGCAAATAGGATGGATTCATTTGGATTATAGAAGTCGATTCAATAACGCTTATCCCAAACACAATATTTTACATAGATACATAGAAATCAACCCTCATCGGTACAACAACGCAAAAATAACTTGCGTGCATGATTACGTACGTGTAGAAATGCTTTTTCGGAAATAACAACAGCTGCTATTGACTGTGAAATAAAATCAGATGATGATTATTTAAAATGATTTGCAAATTGAATATTGCACCAGACTAAAACAATTTATTCAATGCTTAATTACAATTCTTTACCACTCCTGAAAACCAATTTATATCGTAATTAGCTGTCCGTTGTATATAATTAAAGTAAATTATATATCTATTATGACATTAGTAAACTGCTGTTGCTACCGCATCGATCAATTTATTCAAGTCGAAATTACTCTGTTATTATTACAATTATGGTTATTAGTATAGTAGCATGAAAGCATTTGACTGACATGACGTAAGTCAACTGTCGAAGTCGATGTTTTTAGGATTGGTCGCGACCACTGGTACATTGAAATCACAGATTCTGTGCAAATGTAATACTGATTACAGCTGTTTCTTTTCTCATTTGAATTTACTTTGTTGTGACTTGACACTTATTGATTATGTAAGTAGTTTGATTCAAACAAACTTTATAAATTTGTTTAACGGATTCCTTTGAGGAATAGTCACTACGTTTAGAATAGTATACGATATACTACGTCCAATTTATTAGTTTAGAAAAAGTTAATTTACTGTTGTATATAAGACTGTAGACGTCTTCGCAAGTGGTTGTTATCAACTGTCGGGGTTGATGTTTTTAGAATGCCAATATTCATATATTCTTATTCGGTTAAGAATAATTTGGATATTTTAATTGTCAATATATGAATTACAGCTGTTATTGCAACGTTTTTCGTCATTTGGATTTACTTGTTGTGACTTGACACTTATTGATTATGTAAGAAGTTTGATTCAAACAAACTTTGTAAATTTGCTTAACGGATTCCTTTGAGTAGTAACAGTAGTCACACTTTTAGAATAGTATACGATATACTATCTCCAATCTATTGGTTTAGGAAAAGTTGATTTATTATATATTAAGCTGTAGAGATGTTCTTAAGTGGTTGTAATCAACTGTCGGGGTCGACGTTTTTAGAATGCCAATATTTATATATTTTATTTATAATTGGTCTAGACTGCTTCTAAATGATTAAATGAAAGCTTTGTCTTACCCTGAAAAAAGTTGATTAATGAAATACAGATGTCCCGTTTTCACGCTAAACTTAATTGTATTTTTTATAAGAGCCAAGAGTTTTTCATGCGATGTTCCATGTTGGTCCAACGAAAAATCGAAGGTCTTCTTCAAATCTTCAGGATGTTTCCATAGCACGACCTTGCTAAGGTTAGTTGTAAACACGACATTTTTGAACAGGATGTCGACCACGTTCTCGAGAAAGGACCCGTGTTTTTGCAACTCTGGTATGGGGTGGAAATCGCACATGGTTCGCGAAACAGTGTAATAAATTAGTCGCCGGAATTAGATCGAGTTTTTATACGGGCCCCAATTAACCGTGCCCTAAAAGGGAAGTCTTTATTTGTTGTTGTCGCATGTCGGTCCCTAAATAATTAATTGAATTATCTCTCTACGCTGCCGCTGCTGCAAACTGGAACCCTCCGAAGGGAAATACCTAAAGATTTATGTCGTCAACTTTCCAAAGGGTAGCACACCAATTAGAAATGCGTAAGAAGGTGATTAATATTTTAGATTTATATGATAATTACGCAATAAATAACTAGGTCATACATTTATTAAAATTACCATTAATGATTTTTTATAATGATGCTTCACAAACTTTACTTAAGTTTTCGGAATTATATTGCAAAATATGTCTCGAATATAATTGGTCCACTTGAGTCAATTCATAAATTGATTCGATTATAAAAATTAAAAGATTAAACTGGTCAAAGTTGTTTTGAATTGGAACTGAAATTATTTAATAAGGTTGGATTATGTTCTTATTAATTTGATATGCGTCGATTCAGTTGAACCATGTATAGAAAGACCCTCGTCTAACATCTAAAATACTGATTACTAACAAACATCAGTAGATGACGACATGTCATAACTTCAAATGATTTACATTTCTGAATCTTTATGAAACAGGTTTCGTACTTATTTATTTCGTTATTAACGTTCTTCCAGCTTGTGGGAATAATTTTCAGTACTATTTTTATGATAAGCAACGGATTCCTCTAAGATATATAATTAATCGAGAAAAGCTTATAAATAGAGATGGGAACATATCTATTGATGAGTTAGTAGATAGTCAATAAGTTTTAAGAGTTTATTTGAGGGGCCTACCAGTGAATAATCAGTTTGACATTTTGACAAGGACGGATTGTTTTTAAAAAGTTACTTTTATTACACTCCTATTACCTGTTGCCTTTTATTTGGCAAACACTTCAATAGCTTTGATGATATTTTTATTAATCCTAAAATGTAGCATCGTGCTACAGATGGCGTTTACTGCGCCATTTGTAGTATTTTCTAAAACGCACTGTTAAGACAGCAGATAAAAGTTGGTCTGTGTTCTGTCGGAGCTGTCTGCGACGCGCTGATGAGATCCAAAAAGATCGAAATCGCGATCCGCGTCTGGCAGTTTCGACAGAATGCAGACCACTTCGAATTATTTTATTCGATATTTTTATTACTATGAAATACATTTTTGAAGGACTAAGGATGCAGGATTATTTTCCATAATTTCTTTAGTAAACTAATGAAATGACGTCATGGCGATTGCCTTTTGCTCATCTCGAAAATTTCTAGCTGTAGAAGTCGGCATTACGATTCCTCCACAGCAAATGCTAAGTGATACAACTTAAAAGTTACAACGAAGGAATAATTAAAGTATCAGGAACTATTTAAATGAGATAAAGGAATTCTTTCCATCCTTAGCGATCCGACGATGGCACCGGCGACGTTATGTACTTTCAAGTGACTAGCGAATTTTAAAGCAGTTTTGAAACTCGCCTCGCTTGCAGTCTTTTGTCTTCGAGCATCCTCAACGCGATACCACTACCACTAGTAGCAGTCTGTTTATTCCAGTGGGATTAAGTTTTATAAGCAGCGACGAAACTTTTGTTCCGAGTGGCGGTTACGTCCGCGTGACAAATCTCAAGAACCGGAGCTACAACGACGACTACGACGACGTAGGCGGTCGAGAAGCTTTTTCCCAGCACTGCTACACAAAATCGCACCGTTCTTTCGCACAGAAAAATGAATCAACTTGAATCCTTTCGAATTAAACTGGCACGAATAGGAACAGGTTAATTTAAGGGTCTTAAGCCAAACTTACCTAATGCAAGGGGATGCTATACCACGTAGATGTAGTAATACCTGCGGCATTATATTATGTAATATTTCTTCATTAGGCGTATACAGAATCGTTACAATCTACATATAAGCTTAATAGTCATGTGTTTGCGTTGGTCATAGGTATGTACCATTAAGGCTTCGGTATTCTAGAGTTATTGAAAAAGAGTGCGTGACGACGGGGCACACGGCTCAGGCGTGTGTGACCAAAACAAAGCACATTATTTCTATGACCACTTAAATAATACTTTAGCAAGACAAACCACTTGCTCTGCATCTATGATGAAGAAAAACATAAGTAAATTGTGATGATACTTTATTGTTAATAGCAATTTGATTAGACAAAGACGCTGCACAAGAGAGCAGATAAGCTTTGAAATCTACGATAATACGAAAGGAAGATGCAGGGTCAGTGCTTTTAGTTGCCGCCCCAAAAGAAATATCAAAGAGGATGCAGTAAAACAAGAAACGAGCACTAGTGCCTATGTTGAGGGGATATTACGATCTCAAAACGTAATTGTATGCAACATACAAGCGGTAAAATCTTTTTGAAGCTGATCTCGGTGTTACAAATGTTCTTTTTTGCAAGATTGCAAGCAAAAACAAATGACAAACATTTCTCATTTCTAACATACCTTTCAAATTCCAATAAAAAAACTCAAAGTATCATAAATGTATGTGCCTTGTTCTTTAACAAAGCCACTAGGTCCTTTACGTTAATACTTGTGGGATAGACATATATATACATAGTTAAAAGGGTTTATTTACCTATTCCAAAGAATTCCTGTTTTGTGTTGAGTAATTGGTAAACAATTTCGTATGGAAACGCGTAAGTGTTTTTGAAAATCGAACAGTAGAGCGAAAATAGAGCTTGCATTGTTGTTACGTGACCTGTTACAATACACGGCTGTTGGATGTACTCCAGCTTTGGCGTAATTAAAAGCTGCGCTATACTGCACACAAATTGAAATAACGCGCTCGAATTGAAAACCAAAATGCTATCTAATTTATTCGTTAATCAATTCCACTAGCGAATGTTTCAATTAAGAACGGGGAATTCTGGAGCATCTCTGTGTTTGGATCGCTCCTAGTTGTTGCAGTTCCCTTTTATTAATAGTTTGAGAGCTGCGCCATGAGCAAATGCTAAAATCCTCGACAGTAACAGTACAAAAATAATAAAAATGTCACGTAGAATCCCGATCAGAAGCTACAGCAATTATATAATTATAATAATTTGAGAAGTTATGAAATAATTTATGCAAAATCCATATTCATAAGTCCGCCGATGTGCAAACTCAGAGACGATTTTTACCGTCGATCACAGCTTAAATTAATTCTTTATTAACAAATAGATTTCCATTATACTTTTGCCTGGCACGTTTCAGTGTTCCTAAAATTTTAGGACATTTTATAAGCACTAAAAATGTTTAAAAACTTATACACTTTGCCTTCCCAAATTTACTCCGAGTGATATCCGTCTATTGTTTTATTTGTTGTTACTTTAGAATGCAGAGTTCACTTTATAAATGTATATTGATACATATTTCCGTAGTGTGAAATACATATGCTTCTTCATTAGTTAATTCATTTAATAAGGAACGTTTCCAATTAAGAAAACTAAAATTGACACATTTTAAAATTTTGTACTCGACCAGCATAGAAATGTATTTTGTTAAATAAGAATTATGGTGCACAGTTGGAACAAAATAGGACAAAAGAAACTTGCGGAGTTTATTTAACAAACAGTAGGTAACTGGAGACGGAACAAATTCTGTTTTCTTTTTCCTGGCAAATAATTTTCTTCAAATAATAGAAGCTTAAGGAAGTGTATGCCTGGCGTCTTAGTTTTGCGTTCCTCTACTTCGAAAGAGAAAACATTTAGTTTGAAGATTACGTCGGCAACTGAGCTTTAAGACAAGTCCTGGATATTGCACGGGTCGACGACGTAAAGCCTTGGATTTTGCTCGCGTATCTTTTCCTTTAATGAGACCGACATTCCATCGTGATAATTCCGACATTTTAGAAATATTTAAGGGAAAACAAATTTAAAATCGTTTGGAACAGCTTAGTTGTGGAATCCTATCCATTTAAATAAGATCTCAACTATTGACACGAACGAATAAACAACTTCATTATTGAAATAGTTCAAATATTTTCTAACTGATAGTAGAAAAAATAACTAAGGATTATTTTATTTATTTTTTACTTTCGCATTTATGTCTTTCTATTTTTGTGCACATTGTGATTAAGACGGTTGTTGCTAAACTACTGCTAGGTTAAGGATGATTAAAACTCAAATGGTGTGCACCATAGACAACACCATATAACAAGTGATTAGTTAGTCTATTCGAAGATTGGAAATAGTTGAACCCTTAGACACTAATCCAAGACATCATCATCATCATCAGATCGTCAGTCTGATTGGACACGTACCAAACTACATTAAAACTCGTTCAAAAAGTCGTTTAAACAATAAACCAACAAAATTTTAATTCTTCGTTGACGGTTTTTCGATGAGAAGGTTGAGTTGAAGCCATTGAAACTAGCTTTTAATGTTTATAAGCATTAAAAGTCGATGAGATGACAAAATCATACTAGTAATAACTTATCGTTAATAAATCTTGGTCACCAGAAAAAGAATATATATGCACTACATCGAAATAGCAATAATTTAGCATAGTAATCAATCATCATCATAAGGTCGTCAGTCTTAAGACTAGGTCGACACGCACCTCCACTCTTACCTATCCTGAGTTAATCTTCGCATTTCCCTAAAACTAGAACAACCCACATCCTTAACTATTTGCGAACAGTAGATAATCTAATCTAGGTCTACCTCTACCGCTCCTAACTTCCGTTTCTGCCTCTAATATGTCTCTGATTAGACCTTCATGCTTAAGAAGGTGTCCGAGCATAGACGTGACTCCTTTTTAATGAAGACAACTTGACTCTGCGGTATCCTTTGCTTTATATCCCTACTACTCCTACCGTCCTGACTTATCTGACTTTCTAGAAACCTAAAATCAGCCACTTCTTCTAATCTTTCGTCTTCTACCTTTATATCCGCTCTTTTCCTACTGTTTCTTCCCTTGCATACCAGTATTTTTGTTTTACTTTTATTTATTCTCAT